GGAGTATTTAGCTAAAAAGTGAGCTAGGGTATGATTCTATGAAGCCTAACAAAGAAAAGCCACTTGTGGGGGTGAAGATTTAGCTCAGTGGTTCTGTCGCCTGTGTGGCAAGTTCAGGAACCCGAGTTCAATTCCTGGTACAAAAACATAAAGAAAAGCCACTTGTGGATTTCTAGCTGAGTACAGGTCTCATGGGCCATACTGTGCTGCAAAAAGTTAAGGTTCTAATGAGCCAAAGTCCTCTATACATACCCTGTATAGAGTGGAAAAGCCATATATTAAAATGAGGGCTAGTAGTCTAGATGAGCCAAAGAAAATGGAATAAAATTCAACAAAGTAAATCTGCTACACCAGGAAATCTGCTACCTGCCAGAACAACTATCTGAAAGAAACAGAGCTCTTAAATAGAGTAGTTTTCATAGCTCAACAAGATAGGATCTAAAATGCTCAACATACAATTCAAAAACTTTCCACCGTATAATTATATATATATATACAGGATTGAAATACTTAATAGAAACAGAGATGAGAGATGTTGGGAGCAACAGGCAGGAATTAAGAAATAGCTATCATGTGTATGTTCTAGGATTTAAGGGAAAACATGGATGGAGGAATCTCAGCAAAATAGGGAAGGAAATGCAGAAAAGATATGATATCCTAAGTCTGAATATAGTACTTGAAGAAAAAACTCACAGAATAGATTCGTAGAAATTTGGATACTGTGAAGAAAATATTGTTGAATGTAAAGACACACAAATAGAAATTTTCTGAATTGATGCAAAGCAACAGAGGCTTTGTAACATCACATGTTAGGCAGCAGAAAGGTCTGTTAGGTACATTACTACATTTTGACATTGAGAAGAAATGGAGGTAGAAAACAATAGTTGAGCAAGCAATGGCTAAAATTGTTTAAACATGGTGAATATTATTAATCCTCAGAACCACGAAGCAAAACAAACACCAAGGAAAATACCCTGCCCCCCACCCACATTTTGACAAAGATGTAGAAAATCTAATATAAAAATCTTAAAAACAAACAAACATGTACAGAGGACTGGTAAGATGCAGCTGGCTTATTTGAAGCAATACTGGCCAGAAGGAAATGGTACGACATATTTAATAAACCTAAACATTAAAATGAACCTGCCTTTTTTGGGATTTTACTTACAGCAATAATTCCCTTCAAATATACAAATAAAGACATTTTCAAACAACATCTTCTGCATAACAAATAAATAATAAAATAGAGAGACTATGTATAATGGAAGAACTTGTTTTCGAACTATGTATCTGGTGAGACGTTAACATCCATAATACATAAAGAACTCAGAAAATTCAGTGGCAAAAAAACAACAAATGGGTTTTTAAAAAGAATGAGCAAGAAACCTAAATATGTATTTCTCAAAAAAATACTCAAATAGCAAAAATATATATGAAAAACACTCGTTATTAACTATCAGAGAAATGTAAATGAAAACTGCAATGAAATATCACTTCATTTAAATAAGAATGGCTATTCTGAAAAGATTAAAGATAACAAGAATTGGCAAGGAAGAAATGGGAACCATTCATATGGCTGGTGGTTATGTTCGACCAGTTATCCCAGAGAAAAGTATGAAAGTTTCTCAAAAATTTAAAAATGGAAACATCATAAGGGAAAAGAAAAAATATGAGAAAATGAAAAAATGGAAATAAAGTGTTTGTAAATGGGGAGGGGAGAAGGGGGTGAAGGGAGGGCAGGGACAAGGAGAGAAATGAGAACCAAGGCCTGTCATGTAAAGGTACAGGATCCCAGTGATGAATGTAACTGCACTGTATACCTAAAATGTACCAATAAACTCAATAAGAGAGAGAGAGAGATTAAAAGAAATATCATATGTTCCAGTAAACCTGCTATTAAATATGTATTCCAAAGAAATGAAGTCAGTAACGTAAAATGACATCTACTCTCAAACACTAATTTCAGCAGTATTCAACATAATTAAGAAATGGAAATAATCCAAGTATTTGTCAACTAACAAATGGAAAAAGAAAATGTGGAACTTTCTGTATTCACAATGATATTATTCAGTGATTAAAAAGGAAGATATCTTTCTTTATGATAACATGGATAGAGCTGGAGATCATTATGTTAAGTGAAATAAGCCAGCCACAGAAACACAATCATCACATGATCCCATTCATACATGTATATTACAAGTTGATCTTATGGAAACTGATAGTAGGCTGGTGATTTTCAGAGGCTATAGAGAGTAGAAGGGAGGGAAGAATGGGACAAAATTGTACTCCTTTATACAGGAGTACAAAGTCCTGGAGTGCTACTGCACAGGAGAGAGACTATAGTTAATGATAATATATCGCATATCTTAGAATGCTAGATTAAAGAAATTTATAAGTTTTCTCTATGCAGAAATAATAAAACTTTGAGGCAATGGCTATATTTAAATTAAATAAACATAATGTGTACATCTATCAGAAGAAATTTTTAGAACAATCAAAATATTCTTAAAAAAAATTTTTTGGGTGTTATGCGTTTGTCAGAACTGATCAAACTGTACATTTAAAAGTTTTCAATTAAATTTTATGTAAATTATTTCTCAAAAGTCAGTTTATACTTTTATGTATGTGTGTGTGTGTGTGTGTGTATATATATATATATATATATATATGCAGGGCTATAACTCAAATTTATGTTGTGTTAATATCAAAAGAGTTGGTAACATTCAATATATTTTCAAAATTATTAACTGTTGAGTTCGTGGATGTGAATCCTAAAAAGTACTCAAGATAATGTCATTAACCTAGTAATTTCTAATGATGTCAGTCATATTATTGTTACAGCTCAAAAACAACATAAAGTCTCCTTAGAAGTCTTAGTTTTGCAGACAATTTTTTCTTTGGGATATTTTCCAAAGAAAAGAGCCAATAGCCAGTATATTATAGTCTTAAATTTAGCCTGTGTATTTTCCCTGGCCTTCAATGAATAGGTCATTAATATCAAACACTTGGGTCTATAGACAGGAAAATCAGATCTTAGCAAGTTGGTTTTTCATGATCAATGTTACTCTTGGCACAAAGTTGTGTGTCAGTTATTTTGAACGTACTTGGAGTCAATCCACTTCTTATACTAATGGTCACAGTCATACAATGAAAGAAAAAAACAGCAACAAACTCAGATTCTTAGCTTTCAATACATTGTCAGAGGAGCATTGCCTAATCATGATCCAAGGAATGTAACCAAAACTTATATGCATGAACAGTATGGTTGATATCAGTTGTTGAATTTCTTAAGAAGACTATACAGTGAAATATGAGTCAGAGAAATATGCTTATATATTAACTGGTATTTAATTCAGAAAAATTAGACTTGCCTTTCACTAGGTTGTTATGCTAAAGAATTCTAATGTAAAATTCGACTTGAAGGGCAAACACAACTGAATAAAATTACATTCCTAGAGTTAAAAAAAACTATTACATTAAGACTCATGATTAAGTTTGTACTCTCTAATGCAAGCACACATTTCAATGTCACTCTCTGTCACCTTAAAATAGCAGAAAACATCTGTATAATGGCCTGTACCATTACATGGTGCATTACAATTAGAAATGTGCCAAAATGGTGGATTGGGGGCTTATTTATGGTCCATGAAACAAAAGTCTACGAGCTTTTCATGAAAATTTAATAGTGTAAAGGAAATAAAATGAATATTCCAATTTAAATGATACTATCACTAGTAAAACTTCTTTCAGAAAAGACAGAAAGTTGAAATATTAGTGTTAAAAGAAACAAGTTGATTAGAAGCTTTTATTATTGGAGAGGTGAATAATGACACAGAATTATGAAAAATACATTATGCTTTTGAGGTTAATATGATTTCTATAATTGAGTAAAATTTCTCTTAATTGCACATATAATCAAGTCTCTGCAGCATGTGGGAAGATAAAACATTTCAAATCCTTGAATTTTTTTAACAATAGGAAAAGATCTCATGACATTTTACCATAAAACTGGCAAGTTTTGGAAGTGGCAATTCACAACTGTTTCTAGTAAGTCATCAGAGTTAACACAAAAATCTCCATGTGTGAAAGCAAATAATTATAGTTCACGAACAACATGTACTTCATTTCCAGATTACATGTAATTGTATACACATTTAAATTTGTTTATTTTGCATGCATAATATCATATTCATGAAGATAATTTAATCATTCCTATCTGATGTGTGAGGAAAATTATGGTATCTAATCATGCACCCAGATTTTTAAAATCTTTGCCCTGCTGTGGGAATAAGTCTGCCATATTAAACCAAAAGCTTTCATTGAAGTTTCAGAAATATTAAGAATCAAAATCACAGCAATTACCAATGACTTTTTAGATGATAAAATACTCCTTCACATTGTAGGAAAATAACATATTTTTTATTATATTTGAAAACCTTACCAAGAACTGTACTTTTATCCATGAAAATCTCTTCACTTTAAGTTTCTAATTCTAGATTTATAAAACTACTGTTTCTTTTATTTTCCATTCATTAAAAAGTCAATGTTCAATGGTGAATTTTATATTCAAAAGTTTTTATTAAAGTATATTTAAATTAGATAATGATAGACAGCAATTGTGTTGAAATTAGTATTTTTATGATTGAATTATATTCATGATTGTTCTTCAATTCATAGATCCAGATGAGATTTATAGGATCTCTATTTTAGGAATGATTGTGGCCTGTCTTTTCAAATGAGTTAATTTTCCTACAAACTGTTTTATAAGACATGGGAGCTCTGGTAGTCCTTCAGTTAAGCATGCATTATTTGTAGTGATTTTTCACATGATTATAACAAATACCTTTTGAAAAACCTTAAACTGCACAATCAACAGGGTCAGTCCCATAGTACTATTTTCTAGCAAGTAGGATATAGTGTTGTCTTTTACTCTCTGGCACAAAATATCCACTACAGAAAGTAAGAGTGATTTATTTTGACTTATGTTTGATTTTGTTCAGGATTGGCTCCAAGGAGAAGTATAATGAAAAGGAAATAGGAAAGGCAGAAGAAAGCTCTTCATCCCATAGCAGCCAAGGGGAAGAGAGAGGAAGAAAGGAAAATCCAGAGAAAGAATGCACCCTTTCGTGCACAGTCCAGTAACCCATCCTTCCAACCAGGCGGTACCACTAAACAGCACAGGAACTAATGAACTCACTGATACATGAATCCACTGATGAGTATAGCACCTACATTATTCCATCACCTACAAAACAAAATTTTTACAGCCCTCTTCCATTCAAAACTGTAACATTCTGCCACTGATTACAAAAAGACATATATATCCATCCCATTATCTGAAATGCACTTAGTTTGTCTCTAAGAGTTGCAAACGTCTTATCAGTTGCAGAATCTTTATAAAGTCGAAGTCCAAAGATTCATCTGAAATTCAAGGTGAAAACTCCTAGCTGTAAGCCCTGGTGAAACTCAGAAAGAAAGTTTAATACTTTCAACATATAATGGCATAGAGTTAAATTCTATTCCAAAGGGGGGAAAAATCAGACCAAAGCAAGACTAAAATTAAACAGGGGAAATATTAGATATTAAATCATAATTCATTCTTCAGCTCCTAGGGCAGGTGGTAGTGAGCCGAGTTCCAAAGGCAGAGACAGCCCTGCCCCTATGCCATTGATAATTATAACCCACATGACCTCTCTCTTGGGCTGTTTCTGATCACTGCCTGTGATTTTCCTCAGCAGACATTCCACATTCCCGAAACTTCCTGTGATCTCCACTGTGCCTTTGGTTTTGCTCTCACAACTTCAAACATAACTCTCTCCAGAGCTCCTGGAGTAACTGTGACCTGGTCACATACTTTTTCTGGCCTCTCAGTCATTCTCCTAAAATCTAGGTGGAAGCCTCTATGACTCATTTACACTTGCATTCTACATGTTGAACAACCAGCCCCATATGCATGGTTCCAAAGTCTGCTGTTGGCTTTTGGAGTAGCTCGGCTCCTTTGGGCCATGGCTGCAGTAGATTCTGAGTGTCAGGATGACTGTAATGTAGGATTCACTTCCATACACAGCCTTAAAATGGTAAGACAGCTTCAAGAGCTCTATTCTCACAGTAAAGTATTTCAAAGAAGTTTACTCTTTTATACTCTTGAGCTAGTGATGGGTGAGTTTTGACCATGTCCTGACATGCTCTCACAGTATCTTTCCTAGTGTAATCATACAAAGTATTTGTCTTTTAAAAATGCTAATATTTCAGCACTCATGCTATTCTTTACCCAACTCTGCAGGTACTCTCTTTCTCATGAAACTGCCAACTTTTTGTATTGTTCTGCTTTACTTTTTGATGACAATTCTCACTGTAGATTTGGCTAAAGGCAGTGAGTTGTACCCATGCCATAGACAGAATGTTAGGTTTCTTTGGAATTCCTTTAACCAGATTATTTAGTGTAACATCTTTAAATTCAGAGTCACACAAAGTCATAGGAAATAAACAAAATGTAGATAAACACTCTGCCAGAATGAAGCACCGATAACTGCTAGTTCAGTAACTGTATACTCATGAGCCTGGCTTCTGGATTCCTTTTAGCATGCTGATTCTTCGGAGCTCTTACCAGCATTGTTCATGTAGCACTTCTCAAAACATTCCATCCACATCTACACCTACAAATTTTCAAAGATTCCTCTTACAAATCAATTCCAAATGATTCTAAACCACGTGGCTAAGTTAAATTATTGCAGTGACCCTACTCCTGGTACATATTTTCTGTATTAGGCACGTTCACTCAGCACCAAATACCAGACACTTGCAACTTAAAGGATTAAAGGCCTATTTTGACCCATGTTTGAAGAAGGTACAGACCATGGTTTTCCGGCTCTTAAGGCAGAAACAACATAGAGAAAGAGCAGGGCAGAGAGTGCTGCGCGTCATGGCGGCCAGGATGCAGAGAGATGAGAAGAGGTGGAGATATGGGAGGGGCCAAGAATTCACTGTTTGGTATCAAGCCTGCTGCGACCCACGCCTTCAATAATGCTGCACTCCCTAACAGCTCATGAGCTGCTGAATTCAGAAATGGAAGATAAATATAAGGTCCTTCTGCTCTAGTCACTATAAAACATGAGATTATGAAAGAGAAAATTTAGATATTAGTCATAAAGAGTACTCTGATGTCCATTTGCCTGCATATGCTATTTCTTATAGTCATGAAATTATTTCAGTCTGCTTTTGGAAAGAAGAAGACTGAAGAAAAGTATCTGGATTTAGAAAAGGAAAATTTTAAGAGTTACTGTTGGGTAAATACCGGATTTATTTTACATATAAAAGGAGTTGAGTTTTAAAACTTTTTTGTTTTATTGGACATGATATAAACTAAACAACAAATTATTTTATACCACTGGGCTCTTTGGATTGATTAAGTGGGAAAGAATCTTTCTGACTTGGAGCAGAATGAAGAGGAAAACTAGAAAAGAGAAAAGGAGAAAAGAAGGGAAGCAAAAAGAAGAAAATAAAGAAATAATAGAGGGAGAAGAAAAGAGAGAAATGAAATTAGAGCCATTTCACTATTTTAAGATGACATACATGACTATGCTGAAAATATGTTTTAAATTTCTCATTGCAATATTAATTTAGAATTAATATCACTATAAAATTGTGTCAAGCAATGGGAAATATAGCCACACTCTTGGCATTGTTCCACAGCATTTGTAAGGCCTTAACATCTTCCAAGTCATATATGTCTATTTCTGTACCTTAAATAGAAAACCACTTGCTCTTGAATAGTGGTAGACTGATAGTAATGAATATCTACTGTTTTATGGTGGCAAACATTTTCTGTAAGTGCTTCAAGAATCAGGGTTTTTGCAATGACTTCCTTCCTGCATGAGAAGCTTAATATTTACTTTTAAATTTTCCTTTAGAAAATACTGGGTTTTTTTTAACCCAGATTTAGAAAACTGCTTTCAGTGGAGTGTGCCTGTGATCCCAGCACTTGGGAGGCTAGGACAAGAAGATCGCTGTCAGTTTGAGACCAGCCTGAGCTACATGAGAGCCTGTTTTTTAAAAAAAAAAAAAAAAAAAAAAAAAAAAGAATAGAAAACTGCTTTCAATTTTTCCAGTACATAACTGAAGAACAAAAATAATATACACAATTTATATGATGAAATTATCATTTTGACACAAAAATTAGAAGAAAGTTACATAGAATGTAAGAAGAATCAATTAAATTAGATGATTTTGTTCAATTCAGCATTTTCCACTTCCTCCGCTCTCATTTTTCAATTTTGTTACCCTGCTGTATTTTAGTATAACAGAATGTGTGATTTGCTTTATTATTTATTATTTCATATTTTAGCTAAAATCCAGACCCCTGAGCATTCATTCATTTGCACGGAGATGAGTTGTTGTTGAGTCAATGATGCATGGCTGTCAGAATGAGATTATGATGAAATGACCTGGGTAACAACTGGGTACAGCAGGCCAGTGTTCTAAAATAAGATGAGTTCCCATATGTATACTGCATATTGCAAAGTTATTTTTCAAAATCTTATGTTAAAAAATATGAGGAAATGAAAACATGGAAATGAAGTGTTTGTAAATATGGAAGGGAGGAGGAGTAAAGGGAGGGCAGGGACAAGGGGAATAAATGAGAACCGTGACCTGTCATGTAGAGGTACAAGATCCCAACAATGAATGTAACTGTACTGTATTCCTAAAATGTACCAATAAACTCATGAGGAAAAAAAAATCTTATGTTTTTCCATTGTAATTCCTGTGTTTATCACTGTGCACTCAGTACCAATATAGCACCTGATATGTGATAGTTTATCAATAAATACTTATTTGGTGAATAAATGTAATACAAGAGACTATCAGAAGGTAATAAAACAGAATTAATTAAACAAATGAGAACTATAAGTAGCAAGTCTAGTAGTTCAGATTCAGTAAGCCTATTGCCTATAAATATTAAATAAGATGTGGCTAAATTTTGGATTTTGCTATCACAGGACAAAATTAATAACAGTTTTATAATGAATGAAAAGAAAATGTTTTATTTCTGTCAAATACATTTGAAGCTCTAAAAATATCTAAGCTTATACTTCTATTCAGCATGATGCCATGGAATGTGTTTATCTTCCACAATTTCACTGGCAGTAACATGACCACTAATGGGAATATGACCATAGCTGCCTCCTATTGTAGACTTTGCTGAAGAGAGAATTTGAGGAAGAATAATAAATTTACATGTATTTTACCAGTATATTCCTTCTACTTTATTACCATTACTTTTTAAATTTAGTTTAAATTTCTTTACCCTGTTGATTGTTTCCTGGGCTGTGTAGAAGCTTTTTGATTTGCTTTGATCCTATTTGTTGATTCTTGGTCAGATACTTTATTTTAAATAATCACATACATTTTATAATACATTAACCATTAAGGTGAACTCAATAAGAACCTAAAATGTAGTACACTTTTATATGAGGCATTGTAAAATGCTAATGCTATGTATTTGAAAACTAAATAAAATGTTAATGGTACTTTTGGACGTATAATTTAATCACTTAGGCAAAAACACATACTAGATTAAAATATATTCTATCTTTTAAATTGGTAAAAGACAGTCTGTCAAGAGAAAATTATGTTTAAAGGAGCATAATTTTATGTCAGTAGCCATTTTGTAAATTTATGTTACATTATTGTATAAGACAATATTACTTTGGCTTGAACAGTTCCAAGGAATGAGATATACTTAAATCTTTTCTTCTTAATCAGCTGTTTATTAATCTAAATAGTTATTTTACTTTAAAAAAATCAGAAAAATGGTAGCCCAGAAGCTCAGAATTTATACTTATGTTCATGAGTTGTAAGTTCACTTCCACAGGCATGGCTACATGTCTGCTTCAGAATAACTACAAATCAGGTTGACTTCAAAGACCTAGGCATGAGGCCAACTCCCAAGGATAGCAGCACTAAGTGTCTTCCTGTATAGATTCTATCAGGAAGTTCGATCATAATCTCTGGATGAGCTAGCCAGGTGAAGGGCTCTTTCACAAAGTAAGTCTGTGAACACTCAAATATATAATTGCTTCTCCAAAAGTGCAGGCACCAGTGTGAAGCCATAGAGATCACAAAACAATGTGGAAACATGGTACGATCAAAGGAAGAAATAAAGCACTACTAACCAAATCTCAAGAAATGGAAATCTATGAACTGCCTGATGACACATTGAAAGAAATTATTTTGGAGACATTCAGTAAGCTTCAAAACAAAACAG